ACAGGGGGGAGAATGGTGGGGTGCAGACGGTATCAGCATTGGAACGCTCATGTGACATGCAAGAGAAGTTCAGTCAGCAGCTGACATGTGTTGGGAGTTCACAAGAGAAGTGTGGGCTGTAGATTTAACAGCCCCATTAGCAAAGAGGTGGTAACGGATGAAACTGCCTCAACAAAATGAGCAAAATAGAAGGCTGAGTATAAAACCCTAATAATTAGTATTTAGGAGGAAAGCAAAAGAAGAGATAGTGAAGTATTTCAGAAAGGACTGGGCCAGACGTGGCTGAAACAGAAGAATGTACATTGTATCAACCAGGGGAAGGGCAAAGAGTGTCCCCTGCAGATGGCAGGTTAGGTCACTGGGAATCTTAGTAACTGCCACCCAAACGAACCAGACCAAAAGGAAAGCTATAATGACCAAATAAAAATGCTTCTTGAAACTACAAATGTGGAAAAAATGATGTCAAATGAGTAATTCTCTGCCCTGTCTACACAACTGAAACTTGGCACATGACTGGCTTTTTCACAGGGGCTCCTGCCGGCACCCAACTCCATTTTGTTTGTGACGGGGTCATGACACATCGACAAGGTGACCAAACTGGGTAATTACCAGAACTCTCCGCCCCCAAACAACCCTGGTTTATTCACTGGACTTACATAACCACTGGTTTCGTTACTGGGAAGGGAGCAGTAACAGGTGCTCCTCTCCCTCCCATACCTGTTCCTATTCCACATCGGCCACCACTGGATTTGTTCTCACTTCTCTCACAGGCCTACTTTCTACTCTGACACTAACTCATCATAAAGGTAGGAATCTCTTCAGATGTGAAACAACTTGTTTATGGCGAGTCCCTGCTTAGATCATAAGACCAAATGGAAGTTAGGAAAAATAGCATGGCACAGGGTGGAAAAACGAGATCTCACCAATTATCTCCATCACGTAAGCAAGCTACCTGCAACCCTTCACATGATGTTCATTCTTTTGGTCCTATTTCTTATTCGTCATCCGCATCAACAGAGCAGCTTGAATATACAGTTCTGTGCCTGTAACCACTGACATTTCTGGTGGGCTGGAGAAATGACTACATCTAAAGAATTCTAACTCTGATTAAAAAAAAAAAAAGTATGTAAGTCCTGAATGCTAACAGTGATGTCTCTAGTGACTCAGGTGAATGAAAATAGTCAATCTACTGAAATTAGTTTCAGGATTCAACCGCACTACTGAGGAAAGTATGAAATTAATTAGAGAAATAAATGTTTTCAGAGAAACACAGAGTCTCCACTGATTTATGCTTTAGTGAGTCACCCGATGAACACATTACAAGAGATCTGCTTACTTGACAGGCACACTTCTGGCATGTGGTTCTGGCAGACTAAGGAGTGAGGAGGGAACAGGATGAACAGTCTCTGCTCTCCCTCAAATGTAGCAAGGATCTGCTCCCTCCTGTCACTCTGCTGATGACAGGCAGGTGCGCCCCTCTGCAGAGTCAGCTTTCTGCACTAATGAGCCTCATTAAGCTTTGGTGCAGCAAAAATGTAAAATTAAACATGGTTTCAACAAAAATAGGATTGTGTGTAAGAGGAAAGAATATTTCTTAATTTTATTTTTCTTTTTTATAAAGTAAATATATATTTATTATGAAACACTTAGAAAATAGGTACACAAAAAGAAGAAAATGAAAATCATCCACAATTCTTCCCCCAACCCCAGTATAGTGACTGTTAAATAACCGTGTGTTTTTAAAAGAAAAGAATATTACTCAGAAGTAATGAAAAACCAGTCCTGGCTAGGAAGCTCAGTCGGTAAGAGTGCCTTTCCCATATGCCACAGCTGTGGGTTCGACCCCCAGCCAGGGCACAGACAAGAAGCAACCAATGAATGCATAAACAAGTGGAACAGCAAAATGATTTCTCTCTCTCTGTTTCTCTCTCTCTAAAATCAATCAAATAAAAATTTTATAAAAGAAGTAATGAAAAATCAGAAGTCAATGTAGCTGAAAGAGTAAAGCAAAATAAAGATCACGAGGCATTAAAATCGCCTAGACTCGCTAGCAGTTACCATTTGGCCACACTGCTCCATCTCTATCTACATACACACATACTTTTCTCCTGTGGAATCACTTGAAAGTAAAATGCAGACACCATGACATTTCACATTTAAATACTTCAGCATGTACTTCCTAAGAACAAGAACATTCCAAAGGAACGTAATGCTTTTTGTGGACTAATCAAAATTTTTAATGCTTTCTATAAGGCTGATCAAGATAACTTTACAGACTCTGTAAAGTTACGATTAGCCTAGAGTATTAAAGCTTATTTTCTCCCCCTTTATCCCATGCTGTGGCTCCTTCCTCTTAAACAGTTCCTCCGCCTCGGCACTGTCGACACTTGGGTCAGACAACGCGTTGCTGTGGGGTGTTCTGTGCATTGCAGGATGTTCAGCAGCAGCCCACGTCTCCACCCGTGGTGCTAGTACCACTCCATACCCAGCTGTAACAACTTTGAGTGCTCCAGAACACTGCTAAATGCCCCAGCTGGAGAAACACTGCTCTGGACGGCTAGGACGCCCAGATCCAGATAAGCAGCAGCAGTAACAGGACAGCATCCACATACATCCTGAGTGCTTCCTTGCAGTGGCGCACTCTTAAGCATCCTACATGTATCATTCAGTCCCTAGAGTAACCCTCTGAACTGGGTCATGTAGCACCTGCACCTACAGAGGAGACAGACACAATGAGTTAAGTAACGTGCACAGGTCACAGATACACCAGGTGGCAGAGCAGGGATTCAAATGCACCCACACTGCACCCACAGGTGCTTGAGGCAACTACCCAAATGTGCCCTCAATTTACGCCCAGATGCATCATTTTTCTCTTTCCTACTCATACCAATGCTCATACACCTTTTGTGATAATCAACCCTACATCAGGCTCTCTGTATAGCACCTAACGCAACGCTAATTTCCTGTTCTCCTGGGAATAACACTACTGGCCCTTTAGGGATTACGCACAGTCTGAGTTAGGTTCTGCCAATGCTAGTTCTGAGTAGAAAGGAAGGACTCTCAGGGGTGGCTTCCTTCGATACTAAAGGAGCTCCCCAATCAGAAAAACGCTTTAATGCAGAAAAACGCTTACCACTGTCCCAGGCACACATTAGCTGCTTTAAGGGCAAAGACCTTTCCACTGTATCCTAATAGCCCCAGTGCTTGCCACATATTCAATTCTCAGTAAGTATTTTCTTTCTTTTTTTTTTAAACTAATGTCTTTATTGATTTCAGAGAGAGGAAGGAAGAAGGAGAGATAGAAATATCAATGGTGAGAGAGTCACTGATCAGCTGCCTCTTGCAGGCCCCCTACTGAGGACCGAGCCCGCAACCCAGGCATGTGCCCTGACTGGGAATCGAACCGCGATCTCCTGGATCCTAGGCCGATGCTTAGCTGCTGAGCCACGCCAGCCGGGCACAGTAAGTGTTTTCTGAGTCAAATGAATAAACAAACCAGACTTGCTCCCTTCAAACCTGACGTCCAACACCTGGCCAACACCACTCAGCTGAGCACTGCTCTCTTTCTAGCTTCTTCCTCATTTTTCTTTTTTCTTTTACTTTTAGAAACTTATCTTTATTGTTGAAAGTATTACAGATGTCCCCTCTGTCCCCCAGCACTACTCTTAACTACAGGTAAGAGATGTCTTTGATGACCCACACCTCACATAACAAGGAAAAAAGTTCATTTCATATATGCAACTTAAAAGGGACAAAAGAGACAGCCATTCTCACACAATGCTGATAATCATCCAAACTGACACACACTGCTAACTGCCCTCCAGGAAGAAATCATATGCCTGAAAAATGCGCATAAATCTGAACCAACAAGTCGTCCTAAGAAAATAGCCAGCTATGTACACAAAAGAGAATGTTCACTGCCGTCTTTTTTATAACACTGAGAATGAAAATATTTTTCCAGTGTGTTTTAGTTTTGCTTTCAAGGATTAAAAAGAAATAAATAAAATGTTTTTAAGCAAAAGTTTATATGGAGATGAAACAGAGGTGATGCCTATGACAGAATTAGCATAAATAGTTTCAACTACTTGTACTTGACTCCAAAGACCCACAGCATGTCACAGGATGTGCAATTCTGCTGTTGCATAAAGGTGAACAGCCCATAAGACTGGTGGTAGGAAAACGTTTCCTGGTTGGTCCTGGGCTGGTCAACTGTCTAGCTTCCACATCTCAACTCAGCTTTGCTGTCACAGGATGAACTCTATAGCTGACCTAAAGTGACTCCCAGGGGTGTCGGGGAAACTGACCCTCATTGCAGTTCCAAAGCACCGAGTTCAGGAATGTGCTCGGACTGGACTGAAACAGCCTTGAAAGGCTAAGGCTGATGGATGAAGAATCTGTTCATACTCAGCAGTGTAACACTCTGCAATCATCTGTGGCTTAACTGCAGGACTGACAAGGGCACCTGCAGGTGAGGTGGCCTCCAGCACGTATCTATTTAAGACTGGACTGCAAGGGACCCAGAAGATGACAGTTATGTTTTCAGACATCTCCCACAACTTGGAGAAGTTTTATTTCTCTTGGAAATGTGGCCCATCTCTTTGCCATTATCCTGTCTGCACTCCCCCCATCCCGATTCTTTAGATAAGTAAACTACTGAATTTATTCAGATGGTATCTGTGTTTAATCTTTCTATGGCTCCATACCTATTACTACCCTTTGTCATTCACAGAGTCATGCAGCTCTCTACTCCACTAACTAAACCACGGTACCAGGCCATGCTTTGCAAAGAGTGGTTCTGAAACCAGGGAGGAATGACAAAGCTCCCTGGAGGTATGAATGCAGAGTGATCATTCAGTGCATCCCAGTCGGTGGCCACATCTGCCTGCCAGCCTGGAGAGCCGTCCTGCACCACAGAATAGCAAGCGCTTGCCCTGAGGCACCGCTGCGCTGTGCAAATGAGGCACTGCACTGCTCCCGGCTTCCCGGCATTCCACCCGTACCTCTGGAAGGACGAACTGCTCCACAGGCTTGTACCACAGCGTGTTCACCTGCACCCCACAGCTCGGAGGACTAAAGCGAGCGCTGAAGAGGGCCTCCTACAAGTGGGGAGGGACAGGAAGAAAAACTTGATGTTGGACACTGATAAGCAACAAATCTTCAAGTAGCTCACAAATATCCTACATCTCACATGTATCTCACATGGTCAGCTAGATCCTCAGTGGCTCCAACCTTGGTTACTAACATTGTTCTACTGTGGTTTAGGTGTCATTTGGGTTTTCTAGTGCCATCATGGTCATTAAATAAAGATATTTATGATAACTAAAATTGTCATGAAGTTCTAAAATACTAAAAGTAATCCACATAACCTTAAAAAAAACAAAAACCAATCACCTTGAAATGAGGTGCATTAAGGGAAGTGTGAAGTATTGTTAAATTAAGCCAACATATTAGGTTTAACCCCAAAGGGTTAAGAATAAACTGAAATATCACAGATTTCTAAACAGAACAAAAGTACTCAGGAATCCCCTTCAAAAAGAACCTTTAGAGAAAAAAACAAAAAGGGAATATAAAAGAGCACGGATTCTTGTGTCCATTGTTTTCTTGGGCCCTTCCCAGTCTGTTCTTATCACATACCAATTTACCACAGGGGCAATGTCTACAGTTCAGAATTAAGGGGGGTTTGAGTGTATTTCTTTCATTAACACCAGTTCTTGGCAATGTGGTGGTAATACTTTTTGCAACGCGACTATCCATGAATCAATTAGCATCCACCGTAGACGAGGCCTTCTTTGAGGACAAAAATTAATTCCTCCTTGGCCAAAAATATGGCTACTAAAAGTTAAATCAACATGATCAAAATATTGTACATCTGAACCAACCTACTTGACTGATAACTCAAACAATATGAATAGTTAAAAAAAAGACTACATATACTAAGACAGTCAAGTGTATCAAAAACATTCAAGATTAATCCCAATTTCTAGATAAGCGTTATCAGTGGAATTCAGGGTATTAGTATTACAGTTTCCTATTGGAACTTGATTATCAATAAAACCTTTAGCCACAATAATATATAAACTGCTCTACTAGAATAACTTAATACGGTTTTCATTGTAATCATAATGGCTGGAAGCACCACGAGGACCTGTTCCTTCTCTTAGATTTATGCCATTAAGCACATTTACACACTACATAGATTCTTTAGAGGAAGTAGGAATAGGACAAACTGCAAAAAAAAATTTAATTTTAAATTGATTTGTGTATTAACTGGTTATCAACACTGTATCTGTTAGTAACAATCAACATGAGCAATAATACAAAAACATTTTTAACAATGCATAAAAAATCATGAACAGAGTTCTGCTTTCAATGACATCAGACCAATTCTCCTACAGATAACATTTATGAACACTGGACAAAACATTTAAAAAAGGATCTGAAGGCACTGAAATGTGAACAAAGCAGCAGAAACTGGAGGACAATCAATACCGGAAGAAGAGAAAGGCAGTGAGTATGCTCCCCCACTCTTCATGGCTCTTTGTCTGAAGGTATACCTTGAGAGGCAACTAAAAAAACGGAATTAAAAACCTGCAGTCTTTCTGGCTGCAAAGTCAAAGGACAGAGTTGGGACAAATACATGAGCTAAAAAGTGAGGAGGAAAACCCCAGAAAGGAAAGGGTCACAGAGAGAGAGAGCCCGAAATTCTTCATATAAATTCTGCCCAAATCTGGTGGCTGACTCATGAAATACACATTCAAAATGGCACCCACACAGCCCATATAAGTCCAAAAGAAATGAACAGGGATTTCAGCTGCTGTCCACTGCAAGGGAGACAGTTTAGTCTAGCTAATTTAACTGCCTGCTAAAACAGTAACAACAAAAATCAATACTTCTCAAGGACTATAATAGGATCCAGAGATCCTACAATGAATTATTTACAATATCTAGGACACAATCCAAAGCCACTCAATATAAAAGAGGCAAATGTTACCCATATTCAAGAGCAAAGATGATAATAAAGACAGACCCCAACTCCTTCTTTTCTAGATAGAACACGTTTACTCATTGGTATTCTCTCCCCAAACCAGTATTATCACAGGATCTCACACTATAATGTGCCCAATCAGGAAAGGTGAGGTCTCCCAACCTACGATACACCATGAGGAAAAGCTGTTGTTCTTGAAAAAGAAAAACTGGGAAAACCTTGCACAAAGCAGTGCATACCTCCTGTTCTGCCTGATAAAGCTTGACAGTGATGTTCCTTTGGAAACCCACATCGCTGGCGTCATCAAACACCCCGAGACTGGTGATAACGATTGGGTAGAGAACTCGAAAGCTGACGCTGACAACTCGGTCCTCAGAGAGCCCCGATGAAGTGTCTTCAGAAAAACTGAACGCCTCAATTTCCTGATTCAAAACTAAGAAAATAATAAAGAAAGGGTTTTACATAATCAGATATTATGAAGTAATGAGGTCAGCTTGATAGCAAAATCTAAATAATTACTGTTATATAATTCCTTCACAAACAGCAGTAAGTTTTTTAAATGATTCAGAAATATGGCTGCTTTTAGGGAAAAACAAACTTATTCTAAAATTTAAGAACAAAGTTTTTATTCTAAAATATAAAAACAAATATCTAAGTAAAATAGTTAATTTATTTAATTATCAGAGCTATTTTAACAGATTTTTGGATACACATGTATACATATGTATAAACACCACAGGGGAATATTAAATCCAAAGGTATATAATAGGAAAGCTTAGATAAATAGGGATATTAAAACAATATACAGTCATAAATAATGAATAAATTTAAAAAAACGGAATTAAAAACCTGCAGTCTTTCTGGCTGCAAAGTCAAAGGACAGAGTTGGGACAAATACATGAGCTAAAAAGTGAGGAGGAAAACCCCAGAAAGGAAAGTCTTGCTCTGCAAAATCCAAAAAGCCCACTTCTTGGACAATTTAAAATATTTGCAGTATCAGGCAATTATCACAGACACAAGTAACTGAAACAAGTTCCAATAACACTGAAAAACTCTTGCTATATAATCCTGATGAAACAGAAGCACATCAAACAGTGCACGTCTCTGGCCCCTTCTCTGTGCCATGCCCATCAAACTGACATCTGCACGACACTGTGTGGCTGTAGCACTATCTCCAGTTTAGAGAGTAGGAAACTGAAGCCCAGAGAGGTCAAGTAATTCCCCAGAGGTAACAGAAAGTGGCAGAGCCAGGAATCAAACCCAGGTTCAGTGACTTCAAAATCAGTGCTCTCTCTACTCTCCCACAGCTGTCTAATCAAGGTCAAAAACAGTTTTCTTCAAATAATTCTTTCAATTACCATAAATGACTCAGGAGAGATTACATGAAGCAGTTAATATGGCTGAGACTATCAGTGCCACTCTGAGAATATAAAAACCTATTTTAAAAGATTATTATACCAAAGGTCTTTGTATCTTTTAGAGCTGTGGTTTTCCAACTTTGCTGATCACACAACTCATCAGTTAAAAACATCTGTACACACACTCATACTTATTTACAAATATACTTATTTATACTTATTTACAAATATACACATATATTATTGTGAGTCAATATATTCAGTATTAATTTTATTATTTTCAGATAAATAAAAATTCTGTTTTTTTCCCCACACCCCAGCGTATCATTTGGATCCCTACCTTAGAACTCCTAGAATGCTATTTTACACTTAGCAGATGCTCAATAAAATGTGACTAAGCTGAACTGATAGCTCCTACACAATTATATACATGAGCAGGAGAGGAAAAAGAAAAGATACAGAATCTGTCTTGGGCTGGGCAAGCATTGTCCAGAGAGTCTCTCTCACATTAATGTTTCTCTCTCTCTCCCTCCCTTCCACTCTCTCTAAAAACCAATGGAGGAAATATCCTCAGGTGAGGATTAAAAAAAAAAAAAGTCTAGACTCCAAATATACTAGATGACAACAAAAGTTTTCTCTTTAATATATCCACTAAATAAAAGATATCCAAAGTGGAAGCACATCTATTTCAGCCAACAGGTTATGCACATTATAACATAACTACATATTTTCTATCTAAAACAATGTACCTTGAACTTCAAGCTACCTGGAAACAGGAAATTCTGCTGCTTTTACAATGCTATTAACAAAAACTTCTATACATCCAGAGTATCGTGATTAATGCTCATGATGACCTTGAGGTATTGAAATAAAGCCAAATGCAGTATGAATCATTAAAATTATGTTAGGTACCACATATGTGAAAATTTTCCATTATGGAAAGCTCCTTTACCATTAATAATAATGATACTTTTGCCCAGCCGGGCGTGGCTCAGCAGTTGAGCGTCGACCTAGGATCCAGGCGATCGGGGTTCGATTCCCGGTCAGGGCACATGCCCGGGTTGAGGGCTCGATCAATGACTCTCTCATCATTGATATTTCTATCTTTCTCTCCCTCTCCTGTCCTCTCTCTGAAATCAATAAAGATATATTTTTTAAAAAAATTTAAAAAAATGATACTTTAATAAAATTGGTTAATTTAAAGGTGAGGCTTTTTAAAAATTGGTTTGGTTTTGGATTTCAAATACAATTTGTTCTAGGTTACCATTGCATCATCAGTAATACTACTATGACATCATCAGTGATTAGTATTACATCATCAGTAATACAGCATTTTATTAGGTTCATGGTCCTTTTGGGACTCCAGTGAAACTTAAAAGAATTTCTCCCAGAAAAACACGATTATACACAAAATTTTGCTTGTAATGTTATCTGAATTCACAGACACCTGAAGAAACCTCCACTTTACAACACAGACCTGAAAACATGGTCCAATTTATTTAAAAAGCTGAATGAAGCCCAACTTTATAAAAAGGTAGGTTCTTTATAATAACAATATTTAAACACCTAACATGTTCTAGAAACTATTCTAATTACAGGGTGGGGCAAAAGTGGGCTTACAGTTGTTAATAAGGAAAAATAATACAATACTTACTTTATTGTATTATTTTTAATTTATTTTAGAGAGAGAGAGAAAGGGAGAAAGGGAGAGGGAAGGGAGAGGGAGAAAGGAAGGGAGGGAGGGAGAGAGAAAAACACTGATTTGTTGGTCCACTTATTTATGCATCATTGGTTGATTTTTATATGTGCCCTGACCAGGGATCAAACCCACAACCCTGGCGTACGGAGACGATGCTCTAACAGCTACCCGGCCAGGGCCACGATACTTAATAACACAAGAAAAACTCTGTGTTAGGATACTCGCACTGTAGAGCTACTTTTGCCCCACCCTGTATTTTATATGCATCAACTTATTGCATCCTTGTGTCAATTCCTGAGGTAAGTACTTTCATCCCGTTTACAGATGAAGAAACTGAGGCACAGAGGGATCAATAACAGGGAAAAGGTCATATGGCTGCTAAATGGCAGAGCCCAGGTCTAAAGCCATGAATCCTCACTCCAGAGCCCATGCTCTTAACCATACAGCAGTGCTGCCTAGAACAACAAGGTGTATATGACGACACAGGTTTCATAAATCTTAAAACACCAGGGGTCATAATCAGCACATTTAAGATTTGGAAACGTTTACGCTCCCTTAGAACCACACCTGAACAGACTAGGAAATGCTAATAAACCAAGACCAGCGGTTACAGAGCTACCAACTTCCTAAAGTCAGTTTCCTGGTAACACACAGAATCTCACGAGGACCACCTGTCTTCATTCTCATCAGAACTCCAAGTTTTTTAATTGTGAGGAATAAAAAAAAGTACTACTTGTGTTTTTAATTTTTTACTCTTTGTTTCTTTTGCAGAAGCTTAGGAAATAATTCTAAGAGAAAATGGATTCACAATATTTGTATCAATCAACAGGCTGGTGGGAGCAGCAGTTTTCCAAAAGTTCAAAATTCAGTAACTAAGGATGTATCTCTGCATAAGGCATTTCCAGATGTCCTTGAATCACACTGAAAAATAAGCCCTTCTGGACGCTGAAACTACATCTCTATGCAGATCTTCACAGACACCCAGGCTGCTTAGTCAATCTGTTAAAAAGGACAACACACAAATTTTGACGAAAGCTCCATTTTCATCTGCTGAAAACAGACACTGTACCCTCAGCTCAGTGACTTTTCCTCAACATCAAGCCTGCACACGGCAGCCACAGCGTGGAGAGGACGCTCACCTGGGTCCGTGATGTTGAGCAGTCTGCAGGAGTAAGGGTCCTCCCGGTCCTCCACAGGCACGTCACAGCCACGAGCGCCGATTATGAACTTCACGAGCACACTGTGAGAGGTGTGGCATGAACGTTACTGTCTTCACCCACATGAGCACGTTTCCTCACGCCCATTTCAGAGCTTTCACTTTGAGATACAGTCTTTACGCACATTAATTCTAACTTTTCTCTTCTAGTCAAGCCAAAGAGGGACCAAGCAAATCCAAAGCGCTAACTACTGACTTAGGTGTGCGCCTCCGCTGCAGTTCTGCACATAGCAGAGCAAGTGTGAACACATTTGGCCCTGCTATCGAAGTAAAGTTCACTTCTCACACCTACACCTAAAAACCCATCTCTACCTGCAGTACTCTCTACTTGCTTTCTTCTCCTTAGGAAGGCGTTCTTTTCGCTCAAGACTAGTCTTTCTCCCCGAGAGGCTGTCCTCTCCTCGGCCTTCCTTCACCAGTTGCCTGTGACCCGTGGCTCCTTCCCTACTCACTATAAATATGATCATCAACTTCTATTTGCTTACTGTCCTTCCTTGTCCATGCCCTTTCCTTTATAGTGAAATTCTACAAAGGAACTAAAATTGCAGCCCCTAGTTTCTCATTTCCTACTCATTTTATAAAACAGAAATTTTAGCTTTAATATCCACCACTTCCTCTGAGATGTCCACCACCAGTGTAACCACCGATCTGCTGCTAGACCAGCAGGCACTGGCTCAACAGCACTGGTCTCCTTCAATGCTTTCTCCCTCTTCACGGAGCCCTGCTCTGCTGGCACCTCTGGCTCTTGCTCTCCAGCTGGCCCATTAGTGCTCTGAATCTCCTTCCACTTGCTCTCCCTGCACAGCATTTATTCCCAAGGCTTCAACTAGCCTGGGAACAATTCCTAAATTAGTATCTGTAGTTTGGGCCCATCTTCTAAGTAGAACCATCAATTCATTGGACGTCTTCACCTAGAGAGCCCACAGAGAGCTGTGTGCTGGAGCCTGTTCCTACTGGCATGTGAGAGCAAACTGCTGAATTCTCAGGAATTCTGTGAGCTGGCTATTTATTTACTTATTCATTTATTTCTGTGAGCTAGTTATTAAGCACAACCTTTATTAAAAATTAAATTATAGCCCAGCTGGACATGGCTCAGCAGTTGAGCATCGACCTAGGATCCAGAAGATTGCAGTTTGATTCCCGGTCTGGGGTGTGCAAGAGGCAGCTGATCAATGACAACTGTCTCATCACTGATGTTTTCTATCTCTCTTTCCCTCTCCTGTCTTCTCTCTGAAATCAATAAAGATACATTTAAAAAAAAATTAAATGACAGCCCTGGCCAGTGTGGTTCAGTGGTTAGAGTGCCAGCCTGCAGGGTCGTGGGTTCGATTCCTGGTCAAGGGCATGTACCTTGGTTGCAGGTCACTCCCTGCCCCTGGTTGGGGTGCATGCAGGAAGTAACCAGTCGTCTCTCTCACATCCATGTTTCCCTTTCCTTCCCCCTCCCTCCCTTCTACTCTCTCTGAAAAAGCAATGGAAAAAATATTCTCAGGTGAGGGTTAAAAAAAAATTAAATTACATAAACTTAAAATTAAATATATTACTAAAAACAAAGGAAATGAACACTCAAATTAACCATGTGTTAATTATTTCACTACTGTCTCTGCTCTTGAGGTTTACATCCAGGAGCTCTGTGAGGTAGAAAGGTTATAATGGCAGCTACTTGTATCTTCGAAAACTGTGTCCAGAGATGTCACATGAGATGCCTGAGACTGGCCATGGTGGGAACACTTACACCAGAAACTGGCAAACACTACCAAGAAGAGTTTGTTTTACTGTTTTGTTGATCATCTAGACTTAAAGTGATGGAGAAAATGTTAGTAACGCAGACGAAACTGCGTGATGTGACTGTAGCCATTCCATTGTGAACAACACAAAAAATTGAGGAAATACTCTTCCACTGTTCAAAACCTATTAATTGATTCAGCAAAGAAGTCCCTCACTTTACTGACTAGAGTAAAGCTGTCACTTTAGTCTTACTCTTGTCAGCACTACACTCTTGTCAACTGCACCCATAAGTTGGTTAGATACAAACGTCTAGCAGGCAATGAAAGCATTGTGAGAATCGACTGGCTGTGTGGACTTCACAATCAAGAGCATCGTGCATGTATATCAGTCAATGACATGCTGCACATCATTTACATCAACAAGGTTTATAACAAGCAGACTCATACATATAAACAGACTCCCCTCAGAGGGCCAGTGGGAAACATCTCCCGGCACACTGCCTGCAGGTACCTCAAACTCAACGTATCCACAACTGAGACTTCCCACGAACTTGCTCTTCTCATCTAGCATTTTATGTCTTGATGACTTCACTACTCTCCAAGTTAGAAGGCTAGCCATCATCCCAGACTCCTCCTCCTCTTTCCACACCCAATTACCTTATTTCATCATGAGGTTGCCACTTAGTTCAGCCCCTTGGCAGTTCTTGCCCAAACAGCTCTCATCCGTCCCCTTAACTCTCACTGCAAGGTTCTTCGTGACCTGGTTACTGCCCGCCTCCCAGTCACATGCCCTCCCTCCTTTTCTCTCTATGGTACCTGTCTCTCTGTTCCTCTTTCCCCGCTAGTGCTCTATCTCACACTCACCCACAAACACCCCCTTCCCCATAATCCCTGCATTCCAGTTACGCAGAACTGTTTTGTGGGGTTTCCCAAAACCTCCAGGCTATTTTATATCTATTTATATTACAACACATATAACATGTTATTACACAATTATATCTATTTCCTTCTACTAAACTTCAAGCCCCCATTAAAGACTCAGGCTATACTGTATCTATCCTTGTATTCTACCACACATTGTATACTACCCTATAGAGAAGACACTATTAAATACTTGTGAAATTGTTTTATCACAAAGGTTTTTAATTAAATAAGGTCCTTGAAATATATGTGGAGTCTGGCTCCTTCAATGAAATCCAAGATTTGAAAGTAAACCATAACCACAGAAATGCAAACACTTTTACTAAGGGCAAATTAAGGCACAATACCTTTCATAAACAAACAGCACTTAGAATAAAAGTATAAACAGAAATGAATAAATTTGCTAATTAAATTATTGCAGTTATTTACCAAATTTGTTTTTTTAAGCCATCTTAAATATACTCTTACTAGATCCACAAAATTACTCTGCCCCAGGGAGTTGTTTTTGGCTAATACATATTTTTATACAGGTATCTCATAAGTTTAATAAACAAATCACCAAACTTACTAAATTTAAAGCAAGAGTGCTATGACGGCAAATAAATTACTGATGAGCACCTGAATGTTAACTGTGTTCACTCCACTCAGTCCTGAGTCACCCCTCAACAGCTGCTGAGTGCCTAACTCATGCCAGGTTAGGGTATAGGTACTGGGAAATATACATCAATCAAAAAAGGCTGAAGCTCCTATTCTCCTGAAAGTTATATTACAGTGGGGAAAGGCAATTTATAAATGTTCAACTAAATATAATGCACGTGCTAGCTGGTGATAAGCATTATAAAGAAAAATAGAGGGTGTGGGTGGAGGTGGAAGAGGGTGTAGGGGGGATAAATGGTGGTAAAAAACATATTAAAAATAATAAAACTGAGATATTAAAAAAAGAGAAAGAAAGCCAAGTAAGGGGAAACAGAGGTGGAATAGGGGTGGAGTGCTATTTAATGTGGGTCTGCCTGGTATGATAGCATCTAAGCAGACCTGAAGAAATTGAGAAAGTGAGCCATGAGGATATCCAGTGGAAGAGTGGAACAGGCAGGGCAAGTGCAAAGGCCCTGAGGCCGGAGCTCATGCAGTGCACTGAAAGTACAGTAAGGTGGCCAAGAGGGGGAAGTAGATGCAGATAAGGTCAAAGACCACAATAAAGACTTGATATTTCACTCTGAGCAATAAAAGAAGTCAATGGAGAGGTATGAGTAGAAAACTGACATAACTGACTAATTATAAAAGGATCATTCTGGCTGCTGTATGGAAAATAAACATAGAGGATCAAAGGTACAAGGAGCAAATTTAGATGAGGAGGCCTCTGTAATAATCCAGGTGAGAGGTAATAAGCCTAGGCCAGGATGGTAGCTCTAACCATAGTAGTAAATCTAAAGGTAGCACCAAGAAGATATGCTGATGGACTGGATGTGGCATGGGAGAGAAAGAATAAAGATAATACCATATGGTAGATTTTTAGAACTTCCTATTTCCCTGATGCCTCAACATCTTCACAAACAGGCTGTGAGCGTCCCACCCAAGTGATCAGCATCGTTAGGCTGGTTCCTGCCAAAGGTTCCCCTTGTTGCCCTCCCCTGGCTGTGACAGTGACATTCAAACACAACAATAAGATCCCCTTGCACCTTTTGCTTGTACAGCTGACCCCTGAACAATGCAGGGTTAGGAATGGTGATCCCAGTGCAGTCGAAAATCCATATATAACCTTTGACACCCCCAAAACTTTACTAATAGCCTACTGTTGACTGGAAACCTCAACAATAACATAAACAGTCAATTAACACATACTTTATATGTTATATGTATTATATACTGCATTCTTACAATAAAGGAAACTAGAAAAATGTTATTAAGAAAATCAGCCTGGGCGGGCATGGCTCAGCGGCTGAGTATTGACCGAGGATCCAGGCGATCAGGGTTCAATTCCTGGTCAGGGCACATGCCCGGGTTGCGGGCTCGATCCCCAGTCGGGGGCATGCAGGAGGCGGCCAATCAATGACAATTCTCTCATCATTGATGTTTCTATCTCTCTCTCTCCTTTTCCTTTCCTCTCTCTGAAATCAATAAAGATATATTTAAAAAAAAAAAAAATCATAAGGAAGAGAAAATACGCTTACAGTATTTGTTGAAAAAAAATCCATGTATAAGTGGACCTGCGCAGTTCAGATACCTGTTGTTCAAGGGTCAACTGTATACTCCAACATGACCCCCAATAAAGGTGCCTTCCCATAGGTCCTCACTCTGTCAGCTCCCTACTTGCCCAGCTGAGCCCACTCCCTAGACGCTCCTTTCCTATGGCCCCTGCATGGTGTGCTGTGCTTCCCTCTCTAGGACCTGAGTATCATAATCCTTTAATTTCATATGCCTCTCCCAATGTGATTTCTGTGGACATGGTGGATTGATTCTTAAAGACCCTACAAGGGGGACTTACTTCCCCATTCACAACACAAACACCAAGGTTTGGGTTTGAGCAACTGGCAGAGCAGGGCCATTATTTTCTGAGACGGGAAAGACTACACAGGAAGAGCAGGTGTTGGAGGGGTTCTGATAGTGGTGGTAAGTCGGAGGCCTCTCATTTGCTGGGTAATAGGTTCCATTATCACTGTGACCATGAACTAAAGAAACCTGTCTTGAAAAGGAATGAAAGCTGCTATGAATAAGACAGGAAATCTATAAATGTTCACTGCTGGTGACAAGAAAATTCACAACTGCAATTCACCTGTATAGCTACTCAGTCACAAGTGTGACAGTTTAATGCAATCCTGAGAGGGCCCTTCTCTGCTTATCACCTACGTGTCTGCACATAACCCGAAGCGCAACCTTCTAGCTTCTCTCCCACTAATGCCTCGCTACATAATCTTCAGAGGTTGGTCTCACTGAGAAGACAAAAGCCTCCGGCTCCTAACCACTAACCAAGCCATCTAATGTCAACCTGGCATGTGCTACCAATGCTCCACCCTGGAAGGGTGGTCAGGAAGAGCATGGTGGATTACTCACACAGCAGATCACAACTAAAAAGTCTACAGAACTGCTATTCTAAACCAAAGCCCCCCCCCCC